TGGCATCAGGCAGATATCGCAGAGTAGGTAAATATTCCTCAAGTGTGGCATCAGGCAGATATTGCAGAGTAGGTAAATATTCCTCAAGTGTGGCATCAGGCAGATATTGCAGAGTAGGTAAATATTCCTCAAGTGTGGCATCAGGCAGATATTGCAGATTAGGTAAATATTCCTCAAGTGTGGCATCAGGCAGATATCGCAGATTAGGTAAATATTCCTCAAGTGTGGCATCAGGCAGATATCGCAGAGTAGGTAAATATTCCTCAAGTGTGGCATCAGGCAGATATTGCAGATTAGGTAAATATTCCTCAAGTGTGGCATCAGGCAGATATTGCAGAGTAGGTAAATATTCCTCAAGTGTGGCATCAGGCAGATATTGCAGAGTAGGTAAATATTCCTCAAGTGTGGCATCAGGCAGATATTGCAGAGTAGGTAAATATTCCTCAAGTGTGGCATCAGCGTCTCCAGTCTCGCTCTTAATGTTCGGCAGATATCGCAGAGTAGGTAAATATTCCTCAAGTGTGGCATCAGGCAGATATTGCAGAGTAGGTAAATATTCCTCAAGTGTGGCATCAGGCAGATATTGCAGAGTAGGTAAATATTCCTCAAGTGTGGCATCAGGCAGATATTGCAGAGTAGGTAAATATTCCTCAAGTGTGGCATCAGGCAGATATCGCAGAGTAGGTAAATATTCCTCAAGTGTGGCATCAGGCAGATATTGCAGAGTAGGTAAATATTCCTCCAAGTGTGGCATCAGGCAGATATTGCAGAGTAGGTAAATATCCTCAAGTGTGGCATCAGCAGTATTGCGAGTAGGGAAATATCTCAAGTGTGGCATCAGGCAGATATTTGCAGAGTAGGTAAATATTCCTCAAGTGTGGCATCAGGCAGATATTGCAGAGTAGGTAAATATTCCTCAAGTGTGGCATCAGGCAGATATTGCAGAGTAGGTAAATATTCCTCAAGTGTGGCATCAGGCAGATATTGCAGAGTAGGTAAATATTCCTCAAGTGTGGCATCAGGCAGATATCGCAGAGTAGGTAAATATTCCTCAAGTGTGGCATCAGGCAGATATTGCAGAGTAGGTAAATATTCCTCAAGTGTGGCATCAGGCAGATATGCAGAGTAGGTAAATATTCCTCAAGTGTGGCATCAGGCAGATATTGCAGAGTAGGTAAATATTCCTCAAGTGTGGCATCAGGCAGATATTGCAGAGTAGGTAAATATTCCTCAAGTGTGGCATCAGGCAGATATCGCAGAGTAGGTAAATATTCCTCAAGTGTGGCATCAGGCAGATATTGCAGATTAGGTAAATATTCCTCAAGTGTGGCATCAGGCAGATATCGCAGAGTAGGTAAATATTCCTCAAGTGTGGCATCAGGCAGATATTGCAGAGTAGGTAAATATTCCTCAAGTGTGGCATCAGGCAGATATTGCAGATTAGGTAAATATTCCTCAAGTGTGGCATCAGGCAGATATCGCAGATTAGGTAAATATTCCTCAAGTGTGGCATCAGGCAGATATTGCAGAGTAGGTAAATATTCCTCAAGTGTGGCATCAGGCAGATATTGCAGAGTAGGTAAATATTCCTCAAGTGTGGCATCAGGCAGATATTGCAGATTAGGTAAATATTCCTCAAGTGTGGCATCAGGCAGATATCGCAGATTAGGTAAATATTCCTCAAGTGTGGCATCAGGCAGATATCGCAGAGTAGGTAAATATTCCTCAAGTGTGGCATCAGGCAGATATTGCAGATTAGGTAAATATTCCTCAAGTGTGGCATCAGGCAGATATTGCAGAGTAGGTAAATATTCCTCAAGTGTGGCATCAGGCAGATATTGCAGAGTAGGTAAATATTCCTCAAGTGTGGCATCAGGCAGATATTGCAGAGTAGGTAAATATTCCTCAAGTGTGGCATCAGCGTCTCCAGGCTCGCTCTTAATGTTCGGCAGATATCGCAGAGTAGGTAAATATTCCTCAAGTGTGGCATCAGGCAGATATTGCAGAGTAGGTAAATATTCCTCAAGTGTGGCATCAGGCAGATATTGCAGAGTAGGTAAATATTCCTCAAGTGTGGCACCAGGCAGATATTGCAGAGTAGGTAAATATTCCTCAAGTGTGGCATCAGGCAGATATCGCAGAGTAGGTAAATATTCCTCAAGTGTGGCATCAGGCAGATATTGCAGAGTAGGTAAATATTCCTCAAGTGTGGCATCAGGCAGATATTGCAGAGTAGGTAAATATTCCTCAAGTGTGGCATCAGGCAGATATCGCAGAGTAGGTAAATATTCCTCAAGTGTGGCATCAGGCAGATATTGCAGAGTAGGTAAATATTCCTCAAGTGTGGCATCAGGCAGATATTGCAGAGTAGGTAAATATTCCTCAAGTGTGGCATCAGGCAGATATTGCAGAGTAGGTAAATATTCCTCAAGTGTGGCATCAGGCAGATATCGCAGAGTAGGTAAATATTCCTCAAGTGTGGCATCAGGCAGATATTGCAGAGTAGGTAAATATTCCTCAAGTGTGGCATCAGGCAGATATTGCAGAGTAGGTAAATATTCCTCAAGTGTGGCATCAGGCAGATATTGCAGAGTAGGTAAATATTCCTCAAGTGTGGCATCAGGCAGATATCGCAGAGTAGGTAAATATTCCTCAAGTGTGGCATCAGGCAGATATTGCAGAGTAGGTAAATATTCCTCAAGTGTGGCATCAGGCAGATATTGCAGAGTAGGTAAATATTCCTCAAGTGTGGCATCAGGCAGATATTGCAGAGTAGGTAAATATTCCTCAAGTGTGGCATCAGGCAGATATTGCAGAGTAGGTAAATATTCCTCAAGTGTGGCATCAGGCAGATATTGCAGAGTAGGTAAATATTCTCAAGTGTGGCATCAGGCAGATATTGCAGAGTAGGTAAATATTCCTCAAGTGTGGCATCAGGCAGATATCGCAGAGTAGGTAAATATTCCTCAAGTGTGGCATCAGGCAGATATTGCAGAGTAGGTAAATATTCCTCAAGTGTGGCATCAGTGTCTCGCTCTTAAGGGAGGTTACAACGTAGGGGGTATTGATGCATTTGGTGATACAACGCCCCACCCCCTCCCCCCCTTCCTCAGCTCCCTCCTCAGCCCCCCCCCCCCCCCTCCTCAGCTCCCTCCTCAACCCCCCATCTCCCCAGATACAGTGGTTATATGATACGAAGTATTTGAACCTAGGTCTAGACAGCAACATAATACTGTGCCAATGACTGCGATAATCTGCGGATATTTTGTAGAATAAATTACATTTACGTCAGATTTGTTAATGTTATACTATAAATACCGCTAGGTATTGGGTACAGCCCGCTACTCGATTGCACATTTTTGGGCCCCCTTGGCCTGGTACACAGCTGTTCATATAGATAACTAGAGACCTGGTATCTGGTGACCCGTGTAGATTATATCTTGAACAGTGTTTCATCACTTTCAGCAATACTATTACAAAAAGTTGTGGGTCATATTTTTGAAGCTATACAAGAGACTTCAATTTAATTGCGCACTGAAAATCTAATTACAAAAGCCTTATCTATTATGCCTACTGTCCACATATGCATTTACTTTTTAGTTCCTATAGGCTATAAGTGATAAGTAACACACTGCCTACACATAATCGTTTAAAGTGACTCAGACCCTTGCTTTACGCCAGTGTTCAACAAGAAATTGAATCCGTTCGCGTTGGGTACACTGTACCCAACGGATTCAATTTCTTGGAAAACCAGACACAGATACCGAACTAATTGTTTCAATATACCGAGTGAACAATCTAGATCCACGATTGTAGAAATTAAACAGCTCGGTATTCCCGATCTTTTTAAATTAATTGTACTACCATTCCTTCAACATTCGGCAATCATCATGACCATTATAATAAGTATCACATCTTACTTCTTATAATGCAACAACATTTTACCAGTGTACTTTAACCCCACACAACTTTCCTCTGCCGGAATATAACGTAATAACTTCTAATTATTAAATTATATTATGTAGCATGACTAGTTATGTCATCAACTTCCTGTTTTTTATCCAATACATGTTATCTCGTTATCTAGATTATAGATGACGTGATGGCGTCGGCCGAACATCCCTTGGTAGATAGATTATTCATGATCCATCTTTTATGAATGCCACGTTGTGATTCTAAATCGACCGAAAAAAGTTCATTTGAGTTTAATTTAATGAGTTCAATGTTCCGCTGGAATGTCAAGATTTGTGACACTAAATATTGCTGTCACTATATAGTGCATTTGACGTATTAAATAGCGACAAATCTCAACTATCATTAAATATGCCTTGTCACTATTTAGTATCTCCCAGTATATATAGTACAGTCAAGTACGGGACAGAATTGATACGAGGACACTACCGGTAATTCTAGTACCGCTGGTACTGTCACTGAAAACACGGGCCTATTAAACGGCTGATGAAATTACATCACCTACATTCCATTCAATAATTCCTCATTATTCATTCGATAACAGTGTTTGGGTTTTCGTATTGTACTAGGAAGCACTTTCGGGTTCCATCGTGGCAAGATCAATGAATAAAAACATAATAAGTTATAATGTAATAAGTAGAGATGTGTCGTATTGAATTGTGATGGCTTGTGCTTTACTTAAGTATCATGATTAGGCTGAATGGCTGCAATAATGATGTCCCTTTATGTCGCTCATTGAACATCCTTTGATCTGGTAATGGTTGCCAAGTTTGTGTCACGTTCCAAAATGTGAGTTTCCGTTGCGCGCTGTACAGTTTCTCTTTACATTATATTTGCTTTCTTCACGCGCCGCAAGACGCGCGCATATATACACAAATATATTGAACGTTATCCTAGCTCAGATTCAATCAAGCGATGTATGGAATTATTGAACGATCATCGTCATATTAAAATGTCCCATGAAATTGTTCGAACGTTGCGAATATATGTGTAACAATGCTTATCAGTTCTTGATTAATGAAATTCAGGTGTGTAAGAGTATATGGCTTGGTAAATGGGAGAAAGCTGATGCTCCAACTTTCGACAAGACATCTGAGACGGGTCGACGGGACTTCTTGTGCGATAAGGTAGATTTATCTTGAGATTTTAAAACTTATTATTGTCTCCGAATTCCAAGCATTTTTCCAGTCCGGATATAAAATCTGTTCGTTAGTGCCAAGTCAGTGAATGATAATAAACTTTCAGTATGAAAAGAAGCTGTGGTATGTGGACCCCTCTCAAGCTGCCGTTAAAAAGGAAGTGCCTGAGAGTAAATCGTTAAAACAAATCGCAGAAAAACAATCCCCCTCTCCAATCGTAAGTACTTTCAACTTGTCGGGAAACCTGTCTAGGATTGAACATTTTCCTGCTTTTGTGATATGGTTAATTCAAGTCTCACGCAGCTTTTGAATCCCATAAATTACAATAAATGAAAAGTAAAAAACATATCGTTTCTCAGTCAGTACCAAGATCCCGGGGTTCATCAGTAGCCTCCATAAAAACACCACCCCTCATCAAAGCGTCCCCGGGTACGGGTATGGTCCGCAGTAGTTCCTTACCTCTCAACAACCAACAACCTGCTCGTCAGACCACGTCCCAGCCCTCGCCGGGCCAGCTGCGGCCGCCCCAACAGCGCCCTGTTGCTACCTTACAACAACAAGCACCTGCTCCCCAGCCAGCCGCTAGTCCTCCTCAGCTTCCTCCCCGAACTGATGTGGCAGATCTTCTTGGTACGTGTGTGAGATGGAAGATTGGGGGCCATCACTGATTACTTTAAATTCAACTCCATGTTATTTCTCAGATTTTGTTTTAAACCGATTTATTCGCAGGTGGAGGTGTAGCCGATCCCTTCCAGTCCGCCCAACCCGCACCAGCCTCGCAGAACTTTGCTAATTTCGATGCCTTTGGTCTCTCGAGTGGTAGCGGTTTTGTTTCAACTCCCGCCGCTCCTCAGTTTGCTTCGACTCCTGCCGCTCCTCAGTTTGTTTCACCTGCAGCTGCTCATCCGTTTGCAGGATCAGGGACAGTTCTCCAACCTCAGAATCCGAACGCACCTAAACCTAGTCCTCCAAGTTAGTTTCACTCAAATTACAGTTTTGAAATTAAGAGTTTAAACATTACAGCGTCACATATTTAAGTTCATTGATGCAAAATCTTGCTGTATACGTTTGAGTTTCACAACAAAATTGCTCTTTCAGAACCAGTAGTACCGAAAAAAGTTCAAACAGAGTCGGACAGATACGCAGCTTTAGCAGATCTGGACAACACTCTGCGTACTTTATCCTTTAATCCAAGTAGTCCTGATACTAACCCCTTCGCTCCTGGCAACGTACGTTTAGGAGACTTTAATTTAACGAGTTTTCCCTTTTAAGGGCATAAATCTAAATGTTGCTTGATTGCAGTTCAAGATGTAGAAACTCATGGTTTGTGGATATTTATATTGTCAATTTCAGGCCTCCGAACCACCTCAGCAATATCCTACGTCTACATTCGCTGCTCAGTCAGCACCTCCACCCCAGACTTCAAGTAATCCTTTCGTACAGGGTGAGAATTATTTTTGTTATTCTCTCGCCTTTTCAAGAGTCAGCAAGTCTGGCGGGGGGGGGGTTCTCTACACTTTTTTACACCATACATTAAAAGTTTAGTGTAAAAAAGTGTAGTTTAACATAGCATAAAAAGCCTTAAAAAGTGTTAAAAAGTGTAAAAAAGTGAAATTTTTTTCTCACCAAAGTTATGTTTTATCTTTAGAAATGTACTGTATGAAAACTGATTGAAAAATAATAGGAAAAAGAAGATTTTTAGACGATAATTTGGTTAAGTGTAATTAAAAGTCTAAAAAAGTGTACCTTTTTACTACACCATACCAAAACAGGCAAAAGTGTAGTGACCCCCCCCCCCCCCCCCCCCCCCCCCCCCCCCCCCCCCCCCCCCCCCCCCCCCCCCCCCCCCCCCCCCCCCCCCCCCCCCCCCCCCCCCCCCCCCCCCCCCCCCCTTGTCTGGCAGCTAGGTGACATTATGTAGGCTATTCTTTAATTTCCGAGTGCATATTTTTTCCCACTAATAATCATTGTTAAAATGTATCACCCAAATGTAAAGGCACAATCATAAAATTGTTCCTCTTCGCAATGGATGAGCGTTATTTGCCAAAAGTAGGGCACCCGAATTGTCATAGAATAACTCACGAGCGAAGACGATATACCTTCGGGACATAAACAGTCAAAATGTCGTTTCAATAAAATAAAGCGACCTAGATAAAATATTTCCTTGTATTTCAGATCTATTATACTTTTATTTTCTGAAGTTTCAAAAAATATTTCACAGGTGGTTGGGGCAACACCAACGGTCTTAATCAAAGTCACGGACAAGGTGGCGTATCTATGATGAACAACTCTAGCATTCTGAGCACGGGAATGCAGCAAGGGACACCCAGCCAAGCACCATTTGGGAACTTTCCCGCCGCCAACTCGGTGGGAACATTTGAGCCTCAGTATCAGATGTACCAGCAGGCCCAACTTAGTCAGCAGCAGAACCAGTTTCCAGCTCAGCAGTCTCAATTTGCTGCTCAGTTAAATCAGCAGCAACTCACGGTGGCTCAGCAGCAACAGTTCTTAGCGCAACAGCAGATGCTCGCCGCCCAGGTACAATATTATACATTTATTATCTCTACAATATTATGTATAAAATTATATCATTTATTATCTACAATATTATGTATATTTTATCATTTATTATCTACAATATTATGTATGTTATTACGTAAAATTTCTCAAATTTTCTGAATTTTTTGTATGGCAATATAATTATAGTATCTTCGGTATCGCTCCGCGCCGTAAAGTCCGTATCTTAGAGCGTGTCGTGTGGTACCGTGGTACGTTCAAACATACTTTGTCCTGACAGGATCAGGATATCGTCGTATTTTCTAATTAGTGAATTAGTGATAAGGGGAAATTACAAGAACTGATTTAATTATATTTGTTATCTGGCGTTAGGTAGTAATTTTGTGATAGAAATTTCTAACTCGCTCAGAACTCGTTTTCATGAGAATCTCCTCTTGTTTCACGTTCCTACCGATAACCGGGACAACATTCTGGTTTTAATATTGTGAAATAATTGATCTGATTTTACTTAGTACAACATCAATATTGCAAGTTCGTTACTGGCTGCAAGTGTGCTAACTGTTACTGGGAATCTAATTAGACATGTTCTCTAATTAAACACGTTCTCTAGTTCCACAACTAACAGTAACGTTCGCCAGACGGGAGGCCGACTTCCAGCCCCCCCCCCCCCCCCCCCCCCCCCCATTATTAGGGGGCCCAGGGAGATCAGATCATGTCTGACCTAGAAATGGGCTAGATACAGGGTAGAGTTTACATGTACAGTTGTAGACAACAAATGTGTGCCTTTGGTTTATATTTTAAGTGGCGACAAGAAAGGATTCTGGAACCATTTCGCCAGAATCATTCGGGATCCGGAGTTCCCTCGAACCTCGAACATGGTTGGATGTGCATCGCCAAAAGCCCTCTGTTCAAGATAAGAGTATGTGCGAGCTATTAAAGAGCAGCAGGTCATTACTGACTATCAAGTATCATATCGACAGGTTGAGTGTTGGTAAGACACCCGCTAAGAGGCGAAGGACTTGCCATACCCAACTCCACGATATCTGTTCTTTCTACTCAATATACTCTAGCAAGATCGAGTATTTGTTTACTGTAGCCTCAATGTTTCGGCACGATATTTAGTAAACTATAATTGATGTATTCAGTATTCAGTATTCAGTATTCAGTATTCAGTATTCAGTATTCAGTATTCAGTATTCAGTATTCAGTATTCAGTATTCAGTATTTAGTATTCAGTATTCAGTATTCAATAAATTTGATTAATTATCCTACGAAAAAATGTGTATTGACTTGTTAATTTAAATCAAAAGTAAGGAGTAAAACTGGGCTAGATATAGGAAAGAGTTCACATGTTCTGTAAATCATAGCTGGTGGATCACATCACTAATTATACGTCACATCACTAATTATACGTCATATGATCTGTCCCTTGGAAGTCGTGCCCGCCAGACATCACCGCTGTCGAACTTCAGTACGTTTTGAACTAGAGTCCGGGTAGCGCACTCCAGTGCGACAGAGTCTAACTTTAGGGTTTTTCAAACTAGGGCACGTGTACCAATGGTCTGCGGAGACTGATGTAAAAACTATAATCACATTACGAAACGATGATCGTTTAGAATAAAAATGTATGAATAACTGAATAAATAAATATAATCCCGGTTGCTATGTAATGTCTTATAGATAACTATTCGTTAATATACTCTTTCCGGTCTTTACTATCTCCGTTATTTAGCTTATAAAAATAATAAAAATTATTAATTTTCTTGTTTAATTCAGTAAATCTATTAACTATTCGTTAATATATTATTTCCGGTCTTTACTATCTCCGTTATTGAGCTTATAAAGATAATAAATATTATTAATTTTCTTGTTTAATTCAGTAAATCTATTAACCTTAGTTGTAGTGAACGTACGGAACGTTCACTAAAAATAGTTTGTGAACGCGTTCGCTAAAAGATTTTAACGTTCGGAACATAAGGAACGTTAATTGCTATTATGAAATTAAAATGCCGGACATAGCCCAATTATCCGGCAAAGTACTAGCGTTTCCATTGCCACTTGCCGACAGGATTTGCCACGTCGTAACAGACAATCCAAATGTCAATAAATCTCTACGACTAAGCTATTAACTATTCGTTAATATACTATTTCCGGTCTTTACTATCTCCGTTATTGAGCTTATAAAAATAATGCATATTATTAATTTTCTTGTTTAATTCAGTAAATCTATTGGTTAGCGTTGGATCAGTTTTTATTTTCATCTTTTAATGACAGATCTAACACTATTTTAATTTAAGAGCTCACCACTTTTGTAAACCTTGTAGTCTGTAGACATACTTAATGACATTCAAACTATTTGTTACTTGTTTTAATTGACAAATCTAGTTATCTATATAGGACAGTGCAGGCCGGGTGAGGACAAATTCTGTTTTGTGTGGACTTTTTGACATTTCGAATGTTTCAAGTTAAAATAGCTTGACTAAGCCTTACAGGCAACTACGAATATCACCGTGATACGGCGCCACTATGCCACTATGCATCCAAATTTATCACAATGTTATGCCTCTTGTCGTACTTAAGGTGTCATATTGCAACATTTAATAGTCCAATGTCCATTTAGTTCGCCCAACTAGATTATTAGAATACCTTAGTGCGGGTAATACCTAATATACATAGTTTATATTTGTGAGGATTCGATGACAGCTTGAATTTTCCGATTTAGAATCGTGCCCAGAGTTCTGTGACACGTGTGGTTCTTCTGAAGATGTGGTTTCTGCCGGTGTTTAGTATTTCTACATTTACCACACCTATAATATCCTCTATTAAGTAATAGTTTATCTGATGCCTTACGAAAGATGTCCTGAGGAGTGAGGGGTCTTAGGAACCATCCCTAACTGTCCCCCAAAGTTACTCAATTCATGAAAATCCCCGATCTCAGCATTTTTACCAAATTACTAAACATTTATGTATGTTCTAGCTACTTCCGGATGAGTCTCAGCAACATGTAAAACAGATGGCAATTTGCCAATTTAACGTTTTATGAGTTCAATCCTCAGGGGACTAATTATAATAACATAATTATAACTCACCCCCTGAGGATTGAACTCATAAAACTTAAAGTTGTGAAACTAACAATATTGTCAATTGTTAGTAGTACCGTTAGTTCATGCCCCAATTCTCATAACCATAGCTATTAGAAACTTTGCAGAAAACAGTCATCAATGGAACTGGGAGTAACTAGTAGCCAAAAAAGTCTTAGTGAGGCGCTGCTAAGTGAGGCACTGCTCGTGGGAAACTAAAGCTGTCACATTACCAAGTTTATGGTCATAGTCGGATCTTGTCTGATAAGCTGCTAATTAGGCTATTATTTCCTTTCTTTGTTGCCATCGGTAGGTTGCTTTGTTGGTGTTTTGCTCCACAATTAGTCTAAATCCAAGATATTCTTGTATAAATGTATATATCTTCCTTTTGTGTGCCTACCGAGCTATGTACGACCTCCAAGGTAGCCAGGTAGGTCATAGCTTCTTTAAGACCGTTGTCGTATAATCCGCCTCTTATGGACTGAAAACCTTTTTTTGTTGATATAGAGCTTAGGTCCAGGATCATTATAAAACATAACGCCGGACTTCTAGGCAGTGTGCTTGGTTGTGCGACACACTCAACTAGGAAAGGTTGAGAATCCTGAAAACCTTCCTCTTCAGTTGAAATAACGACCTTAGTTGACAGTCATGAGTAACAGAAGTAAGTGGTGTGATACCTTGCCATTGGCTCACTCATTCATTCCTCAGATATTTAAATGAAAATTGTCACTGAATGAACTGGTGGCCCTGGCTGGTGCTCTTTCAAGTTTCGAAGTAGGAATACCGATCCTGGCAATTGAATTAGCCCAACCATGATTGATTCACAAGGCCAGTCCATTTCGCCACTTATAGTAAATGAGGAATGCTGGTTAAGCTGGGTGGAACCACAGTATTATTACTAGTTCATGATTTGAGACGGTGTTTGGTTCCACCCTCGTGTCCATGTTAAGGAGAGTGTCCATGTTAAGGTGAGTGACATGTGATCCGGCCTCATGTCTACACCTTTTAGGGAAGTACCGCCCTTGTTTCCTACACCCCCGTGTCCTCCACCCGCGCCCCTTGTGTCCACCTCCCTTGTTTCCTATAACCACAGTCTCGTTCTTTAAACTGCATTAACACTTCTGCCAGTAACTACTAGTTACTGTGAAGTTCGAATATTTGACTCTCTCCGTTTCTGCAAAATCACAATTACAAAGTTCATTAGAAACGCGAGATTTCCATTGTTCAAGATTGTCCATTTTACCAGTGTTAAGATTTGGGCCTCTATAAAATCATCTGATACTCAATTTATACCCTTTATAGGCAAACATTTCTGTTAAGTCTCAGTAAGAATTATGTTTTAATCCCACTTAAATGAATGGAACTGGTTGTCACGTTACGATATTAAACGTCATAGTCAGACTCTAAATTTCAATACATTTAATGGATTTGTAGTTTGATCTAGTTTAAAACACATTGCTTGTTAACTTCCGTACTCCGTCGTAGACATGGATTATATGAGCATCTTTTAAATTGCGTTTGATGTTGAACTTTTGTATTCTTATCTCGAGACTCGAATTGCTTAGAAAAATCGATAAACGTCCTCACAATTCTGATATAGAACAACCTCACCATTTCATATAACAACTCTCATCAGAAAAGCAATGGGCTTGGACAACGGGTCGGACAACCGCCTCGCTCTCGTCACTCCTGATGAGGACCTAAACAAGAAACAGTCCCTGACAATAGACCAGGTTGTGGACAAAATATACCAGGGCCCAACCATCAAGCTGTTCCTGGTATTTTGGACGGCTGTAGCGGTTATGTATGTGACAGCGGCTGAGACCTACATAACAGTGTTCACAGGTCGGATTCCCTACACGGAGTGGACATGTGTCTCGGACACGTGTCAGAGTTTGTATGTGGCAGCTAACATCTCCGACTCCTTCTACTCGGAGACGTCAATGTGTGATAATGAGCTGGTTGCTGGGACTGACTTCAATTGGACGAGCACGAGAACTACTTTCTCTATAGACTGGGGCATCTACTGTGGTACTGAGTCTAAACTCTCTTTGGCGTCCAGCTTGTTCTTCATTGGGGCTCTTCTGGGATTGCTGACTTCTACTGCAATATTCGATAAGTTTGGAAGAAGAAATGGAGCGATTGTTGGGTCTTTCATTTCAGCTTCAGCTACATTAGCAGGGGTATGGGCACCTAATTATGAGGTCTTGCTTGCCATTAGGATCGTCCAGGGATACGGTCAGTACATGAGTTTCACTGGGGTTTACTGCTGGATACTTGAGTTTGCGCCTAGCCACCTCCGGTGCAACATCAACACCATTACCCTCTTTGCATGGAATTTAGGCTTTTTCCTCATGGTTGGCTTGGCTTACTTCATCACAACATGGCAGTATATCTTCCTAGCCGTTGCTGTTATCAACTACGTGTGTATCATTTCTCTTTTTATCTACCCAATATCCCCACGATTTGCACTGGTCCAGGGACGTGATGAGGATGCTAAGAAGATCCTGCAATCATACTCACGAATATACGGTAACGAGATGTCGATGGAGTCTGTGGATTTGGTGTACAAGGACAGAGTGCAGAACTTTTGGGAGCAAATCAAAGATTTCAAGACTCACCCCGCTATGCTGAAGAGAACATTGCTGGGCTGTATTTGTTGGTTCATGTGCGGAGCCTTGTTCTACGGGTTTTCTTTTGGATGGAGCAAAATTGGCTCCAATATCTACACGGCGTACTGTTTTGCGGCTGTTGGGAACACCATCGCGTTTGCTGTAATGACACCAACTTGCAATCTGATTGGTAGAAAGAAATCAGGCCTTGTTTTCTTCGGGATCGTAGTCCTCTCAAATCTGTTGGCGATGCCAGATGTCAACTTTTCTGACAAATGGACCCTGAACTACGTTGCCTGTTTGATCGGCAGTATTTCAGTCCTCGCTGCCTTTCTCCTTATGTATCTCTTCACCAGCGAGCTAGCCCCCACCTCACATCGCGGCATGATAATGTCCCTCAGCTCCAGTTGTGCCCGGTTAGGTAGTTTCGCTGGGCCTTATATTAGTTTACTTTACAAGGTAACGGATAGGAGAGTAACTGCTGGGGTATTTGGTGGAATGGCCCTTATCGGCGTGGCTGTGGTCTTCTTCCTGCCGGACACTACTGGGGTGAGGATACCGGAGGTGCCGGGTGATCTGACATCTGGGACTGAGTACCAGAAGGTCGAGAACGGGACACAAGTTCCAAACCATGAAGAGGAAGCTTGAGAGAGCTGATTAGATCGCTCGTGATGTAACACGTGATATAACACGTGATGTAACACGTGATATAACACGTGATATCACACGTGATGTAACACGTGATATAACACGTGATGTAACACGTGATATAACACGTGATATAACACGTGATATAACACGTGATATATTTCAAATAGACTGTGATATAATAGACTTCTTGTCGATAATAGGTTTGAATCGTGATATTTTATTAAATTGTCCACTTTCGTTGACTTTTACACTGGTAAACTGATGAAATTAATTCTAGGATTTATAGTTTAGTTGGTAATCCACATTTATAGTGTTTTGCTTATTAGTGGTTTATATACATTATTCGTTTATCTACATTACACCGATGTATTTTATGGCCAATAATAATATATAAAATATGGATATTTTGTTTGTTCACTCGCTGTTTTGTGCCTATTCTATGTACATTTATTGAACTGTTGATATATTTAAATGTATATCGGAGGTCTTTAATAAGCAATGATAATGTTATATTATTAAGATAGCTTAATAGAAAAATGAATCATCGCTTCAATTCGACAGAGGCTATCATTACCAATACAAACAGACAATGAAATAAATATTGCCACTCAAATTAAAGCCTATATCACAACAAATTTTACCAGATTGCATCCTTGAAATAATAAATTACTCCTTCTTTACCCCTTCTTACCCCTTCTTTACTCCTTTTAATTTCAGATGGCGACACAGCCGGGGATGCAACCAATGTTTACGATGCAGAATCAATCTCATAACCCTTTCATGGTTTGTGATTTAAAGTTAAAACTGAGAATATACTGGTGTTATATTCACCCTCACTTGCATTTTTAGCGCAAAAATATTTTTTAAATAGAAATTTTTACCCGTTACCCAGCAATTTTTCTGTTGGTGATAGTTCAAGTAGATGTTAAACTCGTGTACGTTACTTCAGATGGCGGCAAGTCAGCAGCCTACAAATCCCTTCACCTGAACCCGAGCACATCACGTGTTTGCCACGTGTTAACCACGTGTTTGTCACGTGTTAACCACGTGTTAACCACGTGTTATCCGTGTTGTTCTCCCATCATGTTACAATATAGAGCTGTAGAATGTAGATACAAGACTTGAAGACTATGTATTTGGTCAGGGTAGAAATTGGACGGAATTGATAAATTAATGAGATGTGTTATTCTGGATATGTTTGTTAGAAATATGAGACGTTGACGTTGATAAATGATTTATCTGAACTCTCAACCGGTATCCTGGTCAGCAAAGGTAACAAACAAAGTTGTTATTTGGGTTCCATGGTTAAAATCCGTTTTTAAATTCTGGGGGTTCTAGATTATAAATAATTGGTCAGTGACGGCATTATATTACAATATTAATATTAACTGTTAAGTCGTTAAATCATTTTGTTGCTTTAACTTTTCATGTTTAAAAATGGTATTCCAAGCTAATTGCAAATATGTTTGAAAAGTTTGTTGAGCTTCCAATTAAAATATATTCTTAAATGGATAACCCACTTTGTTATCCCAGTTTTTTCTCTTCGTATTGATTGTTATGGATGATTTATATTATAGTTGTTGGTGTTGTTAAGATAACCCGCAAATACCTTTGGAGTTTAGTGCAATGTGATAGAGAGATGATGACACTATGATGATTGTTACGATATAATCCAATAACTATTGCTAGTTTTATTTATCCTTTTTCCGAGTCTAAATGATTTTTACTCGTTTAAATATTGACTTGTAAGCCTGTTGGAGGTGTTTATAGCTAGCTGTTGAGGTATGTAGTTCTGTTAAAATATTAAAGATCTAAGCTTAATCCTGGCATATTCCGTTAGCTATGTATTAAGTTTATTGGAAATTACTATACATGAATTTCCTTCTTTGCATACATAATATAATCATTTTTTTTCTTACCCAAGTAAATTTTTGAATTGATATTGTTAAATATTCATAAGCAAAAGTTTGTTAAATAAGATTTTTAATATATAATTATGAAATTTTGAGGGGACCTTCAAAAAACAAATTGGTCGAACTTATATTTATTTGATCTTGCTCTGTTATATTGTATTGCACGCTTTTTCCCTTGAATATATATGACGTTGTGAATTTGTGTTATACTTATTGTCTTCAAATGTCCTATAAATACGATGGTTTTAATAGTACTCATGAAATTTCTGTATTATTTGTAGTCACACAAAGTCTGCAGTATATAATAGTAGTTCTAGTAAGTTTATGTTGGAGGACTTCGACGCGCCGCGCAAACTATCATTCTTACTTCGCAACGATCTGGAAGGGTCGACATCGTCAATCAAAGTTTATGTTACCTAAGGACCCCAGGCTATTATGTTCATTAACATATAGATATAGATATAGATTTGGCGGAATGACAGGCTGAGCGCGGCCCAGTAACCCAGGCTATTATGTTCATAAAGATTCGGCGGAATGACAGGCTGAGCGCCGCCCAGTAAAGTTTATGTGACTCGCTTTTTGGTGAAATCGATTCCCAAACAACCGCGCTAAAAATTAAAATGAGATTAAATTCAAACTATCACATGAATGCAATGCTAAAAATTTAGTTTAGACTGGCCGAAGAGGTAATTGTCCTATCTTTATTAATACTTCTTATCACGTTGAAGGATTGAGGATCGGACATCGTCGCTTTTACTGGGCCGCGCTCAGCCTGTCATTCCGCCGAATCTAGCTATTTGGCGGATGTTTATGGCTCAGGCTATGTTTATGAACATGATAGCCTGGGGTCCCCAGGTAACGTCGCTCTACCCCGCCCGATGATGATCTCCTGCAACTTCCCCCAGCGCCGCAGCACTATATAGGAGAGTTCGACAACGACACGTTTCTCCAGCACATTGTAAACTATATGTGTCATGCGCTAATCACCATCACCGCTCGCCTAGCATCCCCCCCCCATTTCGCATCCCCCCGGGTCCCCACTACGGCCCCTTGTCATAATCACGCTGAAGATGATACAGAATCCCGCACGTCTTCAGTCTTGGTATAAATTATACTGGCAACGTCAATAAACTTATTACGCAGTAACGCGAGACCAAACCTTAATCCACCATTTATTTATGAAACAAGCTTGATTGACGATGTCAATCCGTCGAGATCGTCGCTCGATGCGAAGCAAGACTTGTAGATCGCGCGGCGCGTCGAAGCGGCGAAAGACCTCCAAGAAACAAGCACGTCACGTCGCGTAATATTGTCAATTTTTAATGCAATGCTAATGTGCATGAACTGACCCTGCGCGCGCTACTTCGTTTAGATGGAAGAGACTTAGAAAAGTAGCATCAACCATTTGATGCAATACGTAGTAGCTTGGTATACAATTAAGCACGTACGACATATTAAATGAACAAAATAACGTTAGTCTTTACGTATTAACCATACCACTGCAAGCGCAAGGCTATGATGGAGAAACACCAAGTTGGGAGGGACTTCGCCGCTTCGACGCACGCGCAAACTACCATTCTTGCTTCGTCGATCTTGACGGATGTTACTCGTCTAAATTTCTTTGAAGTAGCGCGCGCCGCTTTCTTCTAGTTCTCGAATGGCAAGTGCTACGAAGTAGCGCGCGCCGGGCCTGATCATTAACAATTGACAAATGGGTCAACGTCGATCTCGAGGTTGACATCGTCAATCAAAAGGTTGCTTCGCATCGTGCAACGTTACTGGGTGGCGCTCAGCCTGTCATTAATCCACCGAATCTTTATTCGGCGGATGTTTATGTTTATGAACACAATAGCCTGGCGTCCCCAGGTAACGTGCAACGACGCAGTTTACCTTTGATAAAATAACTTAATTATTTTAATGTTTATTTTACCTCACTTCCGATTTTTATTATGTAAAATTTAAAGCCTAAATCAAATTTCTAAAAATGTTATAACGGCTACACTTCCTTTTTCTACAATCTTGCTAAATATCATGAGATTTCAACTCCAATTGCGAGCTGAAATTGGTCAGCGCTTGATACATGTTTCGTATCCAAATATCAAGTTGCGCGAAACAGAAAAGTGGCATGCAACGTATGTCTGATGGTCAAGTCAGCACGAAGGGTCAGTTTTTGCTTACTTTTCAGTGGTTTTTTATGTCCCCGTTGCCGGTACGGGGAGATTTCGTCAAGCTTTAAAATATAATATAGATATGTATTCAGTTTATAGAGTATTAGGAATATTTTATTTATTTATAAATGAGTAAAATTATGCCTAATGTATTTCTCAACTATCGGTCAAATGGGCATCGATGGAGTTGCCTCCCATAATTGGAGTTGATAATATCCTTATTACCTGTGAATCTTGGTGTTTGGTCTCCTGTCCTAATGAAATTGGCAGATCCACTCAAAATATACACTTTTTTTTTTTTTTTTGAAAACTGGCCACGGGCCTAAATATTACATATCAATCAATTACAATTCATTAATATTACCAATATTAACAACTATCGAAAATATTCAAGAAAGTATTCTCTAGCCCAAAAGTGGCCAATATTTAAATCTAATTCTTCAAATATTGTCTGGTTATATCGCAACTTGGGCCCTCTGTCCCCCACTTATCGAAATAACAGGTGTCTTTAATACCTCAAAGGTCAAGCGCTTTCTAAGATATGATAACTGAGTCTAAATAACGCAGTCCTGTTTGGAGATTCCATCTTTTGTGCAAGCTTTTACTTCAAGCGTTGCGGTTCGATCCCATTGCCTCCTGTTGTGGATAAAACCTAAAGGTGTAAAGGTAGCTTTTTCCACTTCTAGGACCCTTGCATATTTGCTTTAATACTTTCAACACTACTATTATTAACTAAATATTTTGAGGATGTTCCATATGTCCTGGCTTGCTAAAGTCAAACTGCATCGGGGGTACTTTGATGGTCCGGGGGTGCTGAAACAGAAGGACTGCACTCTTAACCTGTTAAGAGTTAAGTAGTTGTAGTGAATGATGTTTCTGTTGGCAATGTATAACTCCATTCACACCACAAACCACAATTGGACATTGGAACAACCCTGGTTTAATGTGTAAGATAGTGTTGAAAGAATTTTTAGACTTAAAATTGAAACTTCCACTTCGATAACTTTGGGGGCCTGTGCTCCAAGAAAAACAGGTTGACATTATATATAGCTTATGGTTTATATGTAATGTTTTCTGATTCAATGATTAGGGCTTAGCCAGTCAACCACCTCATATTTTTTCATACTCACTCACTCTCTGGTCCCCATGGAGTCGTAGTCCGTCAGTCCGGTCTATTTTCAATTCTTTTTGAATCATTTTGCCTAATCCAAGTTTACACTTTCATGTTTTCCACAACAGAACTTTCAAACTACCTTTCTGCTCTTCCTTCTTTTCAGTGAAGTGTGCTAGTTGGGACGTGGAAGGGTGCCCCTGGTCTGCTGGTACCCCATTGCTTTCTTCACCATGATGGGAAAACCCCCCACTGAACACTCAAAACAGAAAAGTCTGTGAGAAACCTCAACCGCTGGCAGGACCAGACTTTATCCACTACGGATCCTGTCAGGTTACACCCACCACTTCTCAGC